TCTTTTACACGTGAAAAATGTCACTGATGACACGTTTTCTAGGACAGTTGTTTGTTTTGTGGACCTGCCCCACTTTCCTCAGTACCAAGCCATCTTAAGAGAAGGTGGAACATTCCAAACTGAATGGGTAGGTGTTATATGGAACGCGGAAGGAACGAAGTCAGCCCCAGAGGCCTTGGTGTTCCCTCAGCTTTTTAAAAACTATTTTATTGAAATAAAATGTTGATATTTATACACACACACACACACACACAAAAAAAGAAATTGAAAATGAAACTGATCATGAGGTAGACTTCCCCAACCGGAACTTGAGCAATAAATGGCCCTAAGAGAGAAAGGGGCAGAGAAGACTGGCAGATAGAAGTGTAGGCATGGCAATGAAAGAAAGGTAGAGAAGGTTGATTCTGATAACTCAAAGAGTTAACACATCCAAAACTAACGCAGGGGTGGGGAGAAAACCACACCCCACGGGAGTGCGGAGCCAACTCGCGGGAGAAAAATCCTATTGGCATTGAGGAGGCAGGGAGCCAGCCCCTGGGCGCGGCCTGCAGGGGGCAGGCGATCGCCCGGGGAAGCGGGGGCAGGACGAGGCCGGAGCTGGTGCCCGCTCCGCAGCTGCAGGCAGCCGCMGGGAGCCCCAGCTGTGCCTCTGCCGGTGTGCCCTCCTTAGCCCGCGCTCCCCGCGCTGTGTCCCGCCGCTGACATGTGTGCCGCCCGGATGCCTCCCCTGGCGCACATCTTCCGAGGGACTTTCGTCCACTCCACCTGGACCTGCCCCATGGAAGTGCTTCGGGATCATCTCCTCGGTGTGAGCGACAGCGGCAAAGTGAGTGGGCACCGGGTCTGGCCACCCGGACGCGCCGGCTGACAGTTGGAGGGAAGCTGGCGCGAGGCGCTGCGGACGGAGTCCCGGGTTCGCTCCGCGCGGCTCCGGAGTTGAACTTGAGCGTTTGGCTCTGGGAAACGCAAAGCGAACCCTGACACTCGGTTCACCCGCTGGCTAGGGAGTATCGAGTTTCCGGAAGCCAGGAGCAGTGGGGTAATCACACCCCTTCTGGTTCGACAGCCGTCCAGGTTGCACTAGAAAGAGAGCAGAGCCATCCCCCCGACCCACAAACCTTAAKAGATCAGCAATAAACCATAACATTGCTTCTTCATCTTATATCTCTGGAGCCTGGCACAGTACCGGGCACAGGGTAGGCGCGTCATGAATTTGGTTTGAATTTATTGTGAAAGAATTAACAGGTCATTTGATCGCTGTTGATTTGCCCRTTGAGTACATAGAAGAAGCAAAAGAACTGATTTCATTCACCGAATCCTTGGCTCAACGCAGAGAATGTATTAATGTTACAGGTTAGACAACTTGTAATACTAGAAAGGATAGCTGAAGAGAGATTATCCATCTCCCTGTATCTGCCCCCCCCCATACACACACACACACACACACACACACACACACACACACAGCCATTTGCATTAAAGCAAGCAGTTCCATTTTAAGGTTCAAAATGTCTTCTATGAGTTGTACCTTCTACACTTCTTTTTCCAAAAATCAGAATTTCTACAAATGACATTGGTAACTTAATGTCTAATATTTTCCGTTCTGTACACACCGATGATGACTGCATTAGTAATGGACTGGTCAGTTTAAGTAAAGTCATTCCATTTAAGGGAGAAAAGAGAAAATAAATCCAGGGGTGATATATTTTTGAGCTATTTTCCAACTACTAGTTTGGTTAGCRAAAGTACACATATTTGTGATTTGTCAGATTCAAGATACTACTCTCAACTAAAGATGTTACTGAATCAGTGACTCTTCTTACATTTGGGGAGAGGGCTAAACCCTATTTTCTTATAGTGCTTTAAAAATTATCTGTGCATAACTCAGAAGCTGTTGAGCTTCTGAGGTGATACAACTCTTAGAGTTCACTCAAATGCAGAGATTGCAGTGAACCCTGAGATTGGTGCTTCCTTGCATGGGGACATGACCCTCAAGTTACAGGAAACTCATGTTGGGGCAAGTCCTGGGAAGCCCAGGTATAGAGACTACTGAACTATGAAAGARTGGAGGTGTTGGTCTAATCACAAGGAGCTGTTCAACTCTTAGATTCCCTTTTAAAAATGAATTTCCTATATCCAGAATTCTAACTGGTAGAATAGCAGACAAGAGAGTGGGTTGGGGGACTGACTTTAACACTGGAGAGGAGTAAAAAAGGAAGTAAATTACCTTAAAAATTACCTTTCCTAGAGGTTATACAGAAAAAGAATTAAAGAGTGTCCTGAACACGCAATTAGTGGTTGAGTCAGGGAGTCTATTCCTAACTAAGAAGCATATTTGGGATTGTAAATTTAGAAAACAGGCCAATCCCTCACAAGATATAACTAACTAGGAATTGACTACAAAGGCGAGTTAATTCAAGGGGGTTAGCTTTCCCAATGAAACTCCTTAATCAGTGAATTGGTAACTGTTCTTTCTATCTTCAGTGCAAGGCAGTTTATTCCTGTGTTTAATACAGGGCATGCTATATATATTTCAAATCTTGATTTCTCTCATGTTGAAATAGGAAATGCCTCACCTTTGGGATTGCTGAGATAATTGTCCATTTCTTATTTAAAACATTTTACAGTTGAAAAAAGAAAATAGTGTCCCCTTGAAACAACAAATATGTGAAATAATCATGATCTTTAAGTTTTATTGGGTTTCCTAATGCTGTTCTTGGGATGAATCTTCAGATGAATCAGGAGCATCAGAGTTGCTTGTGAAAATGCTGATACCTGAGCACCGGTGGCAGAGAACTGAATTTCACAGGCCTGGAGTGGGACATAGGAAGTGGAATTTTAATGAGAATCCTGAAGGATTTGGACACAGGGAGTGGGTGGATGACATTCTGAGTAACTGTAGTATTTTGGTTGTGTGGTGGGACCACTTTAGTGAGATGTGGAGAGCTCAGTTTTGTTTCAAAGCCAGGTCTGAGATAATATCTCAAAGAGAAGGGACACAACTTCCTATGTCCTCCTTCTCTCTTATATGCCTGGTCCCACTCCATATAACTTCATGTAGGCTCAGAGAATGGTACTGACTATGTTTAACTCAATAATTAAAGCTTATATTCAATTAATTTAATTAAAACTATTCTTTAGCCAACATTTKGGTTTGGGGCATTTTGAATTCAGAGTTAATTTTTCTACTTGAACATCATGTAGCTTTTTAAAATAAGACTCTAAAAAGTATAATTAATTTGAAAATGTTTAATTAATCTTGAGACACAGTGTGCTCAAATATTACTGAGTTACCTAATTCTTTCATATACAACAGGGTCAGGTTGACTTTTAAGATACATTAAGATGCCCTGGGACTTTTACTGCACACATAGGCAGAAGCAAGAGTGAGGAAGAAAATCATTTTGGAGGCAGTGCCTTGGGGTAGCTGTAGTAAATCCTAAGGAGAAACAGAGACCTGAGTTTTGGTTGAAAGTCTATACTAGTTTTCCTGCTCTAAGACCATGGATGAAACACCTAACCTTTTTTGAGCCAATTTTATCATTTGTAGAATTTGATTTCCTTTTGCTCAATATTAAATGAGTGATGAATAAAAATACCTGGCACTTAGCGGATATTTGACATGTAACATGTTCATTCCATCCTCATTCTTTCCTTTGCCCCTAGCAAATTCTTAAGCTCTCGCTCACTGCAGCATTTTTTCATGTTTCCACTTGGTGGCACCCATGCAGGCCAAGCAGCAGAGAAGGAATCCAGGGCCTGGGAGGGACAGTGTGGGATAGCGAGGCAACAGCTATGCATCCTCTTGGTCATGTCATTCATCTACTGGGATGCAAAGATGCACCTGGGAAGAAAGATCTGAGGAGCTGTTAGTCAGCTTTTCACCGATGCAACCAAATTACCTGACAAGAGTAACTGAGAGGAGGAAAAGTTTGTTTTGGCTCAGAGGTTTAGTATGTGGTGGGCCAAGTCCATTACTTTGGTCCCAAAGTGAGGCAGAACATTATGGTGGAAGGGCATGGTGGAGAAGCAATGCTCCCTGTACTTCAGCCAGGAAGCAGGGGTGGGGCAAGGGGCCACAGGGAAGATGAACCCTTTCGGGGCACTTCCCCAGTGACCCAACTAGCCATGTCCCACTTGCCCATAGTTCCCACTCAGTCCATTTAAAGTAGGATGGACTGATTAGGTCACAACTCTCATAATTCAGTCATTTCACTTTTGAATATTTCTGCATTAACACAGGAGCTTTTGAGGGACATCTCATATCCAAACCATAACAGAAGTATTTACTGCACATTATTTTCCGTACTTCTTAGTCGGCTCAGTGTGATTATTTCCTATTAGAAAGCTGAGATTTGAGAATTCACGCATATAGAGATTGGGGTGGAATAGTCAGCTTTTGAAATATAGCCCAAGGGCCATGTTCTTTTTATGATAGCAGGCTGCTTCCCCAAGGCACAATGTGTGCCTTTAAAGAACTTGCCCTTTATTAAAAGAGCCAAGATTTGTTGGTATAACAAAAGTGGGCTGATTTCTGAGCCAAACAGGGGGCTCCTCACTGGAGATAAATTGATGAACAAAGTGTCTTGGTGGTGTTGGTAATCTAGTGCTACATTAACAAAATCTGCTATGACCTATCTGAACTTGACCTAGTCTGCGGGTGGAGGTAAGGCTTTCTCYAGTATCAAATGACATTTAAATTGTATTCTGAAGAATAAGTAGAAGTTAACTAGGTAAGGCAGATAGGATTCAAAGTAGAAAAGAACCTTCCAGGGCAGAGACAATAGATTATGCAAAGGTCCTGGGTAGACAGGAAAGAAAGGTCAAAGTGGTTAGAGTCTAAAAGTTCAARAAAAGGATAACGTAAGGTAAGGCAGGACGGTTTGACTGGGTGATATCATGGAGGGCACGTGGAGTGGGGGAGGGATTGAACTGTGATTATAGTTTGCAGTTTGTACAGTTCACTTTAACTTCAGGATAAAGGATGCATTGGAAGGGAGTTGAGTGCAGGCAAGGAGGTCACATTGGAGCATGTTGCAGTAAGGAGTTCAGGTGAGATGGGATGTAGTTTAGATGAGGGAGTTTAGATGAGGGAGGCAGTGTGGTCTGCCAATTCATGAAACCCTAAGAATACCTTTATCACTTACTACTGTTGCAAATTTGTTGCTTAGCATTTCTATTTCCAAGTTTCCATACACTCACTCACACACACACACACACACACACACACACACACACACACACACCACAATTTATTTAATATACATTATGGGGTTGTTGAAAGGATTAATGTATTTATAAATGTAAAATATATAGAATAATGCCAAGCATGTAATACATGTTTAGTAATCATCAGCGATTATTGTCAGCAATGGAGATGGAAAGAGGTGGAAAGACTTCGTGGCTCTTTAGATCAAGTCAGCTGGATCTGATAACTTGTGTATATAGGGTTAGAAGGCAAGAGCATCAAGAGAAATGTATGTCAATGTATGTAAATAACATAAACCAGGTGTATATCACTGTGTGTAAGCAGTACAGAGGGGCACAAATTGACCAGTGATAGGAAAGGCTTCTTGAAGGAAGCAGTCATTGAACTGAACCTTAAAGRAAAGACAGGATTTGAACATGTAGGACAGAATTAAAAGGCTCTGGCAAAGGCAATGGGCTGATGTTTTTCAATTCTAATGCTGTTGGGAAATTTGCTTCCATAAAAAGATGCTTTACATGCCCAAGTATCACAGGATAACTCTGAGAAGTCTGATTTTCTAGAAAGCTGATTTCTTTGTTCAGAATGTTCATAGCAGACACAGCTGGCTACCCACTCAA